CTGAAGGGGGAAAATCAGTATGTACAATTAGAAGTGCACCACTCTGAAGGAGATCAAATCAGTATGTACAATTAGAAGTGCACCACTCTAAAGGAGATCAAATCAGTATGTACAATTAGAAGTGCACCACTCTGAAGGAGATAAAAATTGGTATGTACAATTAGAAGTGCACCACTCTAAAGGAGATAAAATCGGTATGTACAATTAGAAGTGCACCTCTCTAAAGGAGATAAAATTGGTATGTACAGTTAGAAGTGCACCACTCTGAAGGGGAAAAAATCAGTATGTACAATTAGAAGTGCACCACTCTGAAGGGGAAAAAATCAGTATGTACAATTAGAAGTGCACCACTCTAAAGGAGATAACATCCGCTAACTGCTAACCTCTTTACCACAAATAATTAATTGTGGAGATTAATGATCAGTTCTTGTAACTTCCTGGCTTCATCAAGTAAAACATACTGTTTATGTTATACATTTCTCTATTTTATATGCATGCTGCAAGGAAACATACGATTTATTTTATATGTTTCTGTTTTTTCGCATGCAGATTTTTTTTAATGGTTTATGTTTCTGTAATTGTTACACAAATTACAAGAAAACATTGCAGGTATTTTAAATGTTTCCTTATTTTCTGCTCATATTAGAAGAAAAGTATGTTGATTTTCTTACATTTGTGTATTTAGTGTACGGATTACAAGAAAACATGTTTATACTTTATGTTTCTGTATTTGAAACTCAGATTGCAGGAAAACACATGTTTATACTTTATGTTTCTGTTTTTGAAACTCAGATTGCAGGAAAACAGACTGTTCAGTGATGTTCTCTTCAAAGTACACGGAGAAGAGTTTCACGCTCACCGCTGCATACTCAATGTTCGCTGTGTGTTCTTTGCTGACATGTTTAGAACAAAATGGCAGGACAAGAACATTATTGAACTAAACCATCCGTTGGTGAGTACAGTGGCTCACGGCACTAGACAGTTAGTTAGTTATTTGGTTTGTTACATTTCCACCTTCACGTCGATTGGGTCACCTAGTAATTGCTTTGTCCCTTTGCTGCTGAAACCCCACAGGATGCCCATCCCTATCTCGTGTAGGAAAATTGAAACAGACTGCAGTGTCAGCAAAGGCAACAGCATACACATGCATTCAATGTCTAAGGTGGCACTAGAGTAGACAGTAAAACCAACCTCACCATTGACCATATCCAAGGTTTGACTTGTCTAGCTAAGGGACCTGTAGAACATTAAATGGCAGAATAGGTTGATGAAGAGGATATCGACAGATTTTGCATTCCTTCCAGCTGATGGGGATACGTTGAAATCCCGTTCATGAAATATTTTATTTATTTTTAATTTGGTTTTGTTTTTTTATTTATTTATTTATTTATTTATTGTGTGTGTGTGTGTAAATCTCTATCTTGCAACACCAAGATCAATATATATCAAACTTTGATAAGACCAGTCGTTTTATATGGCTCTGAAACTTGAAGCACAACTAAAAGAGATGAAGTCATAAAAATATTTCGAAAACAGAGTGTTACGAATCTTTGGGCCTATCAAAGGGGATTGTAGAGTGAGAAGCAGCAGCCAAATTCATAATCTGTCTAAATCACCATTTATCACTGACATCATGAGAGCTAATAGACCGAAATGGCTGTGTATATTGAGAGAATTTCAGATGACAGAGAGGTAAAAACTGTATACATAAGGGCGCTGAATGATCATAGACCACAAGGCCGACCAAGAAGATGATAGAGATATAATGTCCAGACAGGCCTACAAACACTTAGTGTCACTAACTGGAAAGAAAAGACTAACCAGAGAGATGAGTGGAGGCGGGTGATATCTGCAGCAATCAACCTTAAGGGTTTGGAATGCTTAAGAAGAAAAAGAAGAATTAGTGTAAATTGACCTAGACTCCCAGGCTGCCCCTGTCTAGAATAAACACCATGAGATGTGCTGGTGCTGTTGACTGCGTCTATCTTATTGGGCCATATGCTGCTCACTCCTCAAGGCATGACTGGCTGGTTTTCTCTCTCTGGGCTGTTACCTGGAGATTTGGTCCCCTAGTGATTTTCTCTCTCTAAGCTGTTACCTGGAGATTTGGCACCCCAGTGATTCTCTCTCTCTCTCTCTCTCTCTCTCTCTCTCTCTCTGTCTCTCTCTCTCTCTCTCTCTCTCTCTCTCACAATCTCTCTTTCAATCTCTCTCTCTCTCTCTCTCTCTCTCTCTCTCTCTCTCTCTCTCTCTCTCTCTCTCTCTCTGCGCTGTTACCTGAAGATTTGGCCCCACAGTGATTCTCTCTCTCTCTGGGCTATTACCCGGAGATTTGGTACCCCAGTGATTCACTCTCTCTCTCTCTCTCTCTGTGCTGTTGCCTGGAGATTTGGCACCCCAGTGATTCTCTCTCTCTGGCCTGTTACCTGGAGATTTGGTACCTCAGTGATTCTCTCTCTCTGGGCTGTTACCTAGAGATTTGGTACCTCAGTGATTCTCTCTCTCTCTGGGCTGTTACCTAGAGATTTGGTACCCCAGTGATTCTCTCTCTCTCTGGGCTGTTACCTGGAGATTTGGCCCCCTCAGTGATTCTCTCTCTCTGGGCTGTTACCTGGAGATTTGGCACCAAGGTGATTCTCTCTCTCTGTGCTGTTACCTGGAGATTTGGCACCAAGGTGATTCTCTCTCTCTGTGCTGTTACCTGGAGATTTGGCTCCCCAGTGATTCTCTCTCTCTGGGCTGTTACCTGGAGATTTGGCTCCCCAGTGATTCTCTCTCTCTGGGCTGTTACCTGGAGATTTGGCCCCCTAGTGATTCTCTCTCTCTGGGCTGTTACCTGGAGATTTGGCCCCCAGTGATCCGACGAGTGACATTCTAGATGTAGTTCGGACAGAACTGACACAGATACCCTGTTCAGTTACACGAAAGTTATAATGAAAGCACATATAGCTACACCATTTAATACACTAAATCTTCAAGCTCAAAGACTGATTGTGCTAAAATAGATGGCAGTGTGAATGTATTACATCAAGTTCACATGAATTTGGCAGATCATTTCAATCTTTGCAAATGATGGAAATTGTATTTACTATTCCAGTTGAATAAAGTGTTGTTAATGAATTTCATTTCTTAAAAATATATATATTTATACCTGTGCCTGTGTGTCCAGACTTGAGCGACACCCTGACTTCTCTTCAACTTGAATTTCAGATGTGCCCTGGAGCTTTCAAGTCCATTTTACAGTACATTTACACAGGTCAGTTTACTGAACCCTTTCGCTGCAAAAGATGTCATTTTTTATCTGTCCCGTAGACAGCTGAAGACGTAATTATGCGTCCGTCGTCTGTGCCCTCACTGCTAAGGACATAAAAACAACTTCTCTTACTGATTGCTAAGGACCATTATTCTCAGGATTCAAATGGCAGTACACATTACCTGAAGTATATCCAGTTGACCCATTTACACACGATTAAAACCCTTATCACATGCTTTAAGTTGTATATAGATATGTTCCATGTTATTCTGTTGCTTTATTTACAATAGAAGTGGTCGGTGACCAGAGTAATTTTTGCCCTGAAATGTATTTCTGGTTTTGCGCTATTAGTATACATTTGTTTATTCAAAATGGCAACAACAGAAAACTGGTTAATGAAAGTTGATGAATAATAAATGGAGTTTCTTTCAAGGAGTGATAGTAAGGATCACTTGAAATGTATGAGTTGTGAATTGGGTTATCTTCACAGCATGCCGGCGGACAAGTGTACTTTCAAATGATCAATAAGAGAATATGGTTAACTACTGAAATGATGATTAAAATTAATTTCCTTCCAAATTAAACAACAGGCAATGAATGCATCTGTCTATCACATTGTACAATACTAGTCTTATTTTCAGGTCTCGTGAAATGAAATTTTGGTGGTGTTAGTACCATTTCTGCTCAGAGACCCTTATTTTTTTTTTTTTAAGTGTAAATTTTAAATTTCAGCTTTTAGCACTTTCGGCAGTGAAACATACAAGTATTAATTATCTGAAACAAATTAATAATAACACTGGGGAGGTGGCGGCAGCTTTGTCGGCCAAGTTTGTGGGGCAGTGGAACAGGCAAGGAGTCTGTAAGAGCCTCAGATGCAATTAAAGCAATGTTTAAAACATATGGCAATGGTGGAGACGACGATGAAGTAGAAAAATAAAGAATAACAACTGTCTTGCAATATCCGCCTGTAAGGATGGTAAATGGGTTGAAACATTCAAAGATGGGGCTGTGTGGTCTCGAGACATGGTGTCCGCCTCGAGTGCAAGAGGTTCCAGGTTCAATTCCCGATAAGGGCTGAGATTTTTGCACATGGACTTGGACTTCTAGTAATCCCCCCTGGTCTCTGGGCAGTGAGATCAGACGCCCATGTGCATTGTTGCATAGGTAAAAAATCCCTTTGCAGTTGGAAATTTAAAAAAATAGCCTAAAGTCGCTGCCCGGGCAAAAATTTGGAGTTGAAAATCTACCCACGGTATTTCAGGATCTTTGCCGGTGCTAGAGACCCTCTGCACTGTGCTAAACTTTTTCTGACTCAGACTTGAGTTAGAAGAAGAACATGCACTTATGGGTTATTACCCGTGTGCCATAATGTTGATCTTTTGTTCAAACTTCAAAGCTCATTTCCTCTTTATTTCCAAAAAACGCCGACTTTTATCAGTGGCGGCTTAGAAAAATTGGTGAGCATGTTTTTGTATGAGAATCATCTAAGTGAAATGCAGAAAGTACAGCTTAGATCTTCATTTGTGTTTCATGGATTACAGCAAGGCCTTTAATTGTGTTCAGTCAGAAACTATGGCACATCTTGATGTATGGAGTTTCCAGCACACTTGATGCACTTAATTGAAAGATAATACTGTACCCTGAACAGCAAGCAGCCGTCAGAGTAGCTGAAGAAATATCAGACTGGTTTGAGGTGCATTGTTGTAAACGTGTTCATTGTTTGGTTTCAGGTCATATGGAAATCCCCATGGATCTTGTTGATGACTGTTTAAAACTGGCCAGACAGTGCCAACTTTCAGTGCTTGTTGCAGATATAGAGGATAGAATGAAGAAAACATTGTCGTGGGGTAAGCTCTTAAGTGTTTAATAGATTCAGTGCTGAAGTACAGAAGTGAGAAATGGATAATCAGCAGATTGTGAGAAATTTTGGGAAGCTGCAGAGATGAGGTTTTATAGGAGAGTAGTAAGTGCACCAGAGACAGATAAAAGATGTTATAAAGATATTCTTCTTCTTCTTGTGCTTCTTTTGATTCAGCAGAATTCCAAGCTCTTGAGGTTCATTGGTGCAGATATCACATGCTTCCATTCATCTCTAACTGGCCTTTTTTTTCAAGTTGGTGATTGCAAGTATTTGTAGATCTGCCTCTATATTATCTCTCCATCATCTTATTGGTCTGACTTGTCTAGTCTCATTTAGCTTTTCTTATCTGGCAACTTCTGCAACTGTGTTGCAAACGCATTGATGTTAGCTTTCTCTTGGAGTCAACAAGGCAGGCAGATATTTGTAAATCTGCCTCCATATTATCTGTCCATCATCTTATTTGTCTAACTCATCTAGTCCCCTTTAACTCTTCTGATCTGGCAACTTCTGCAGCGTGCTGTGTTGATGTTAGCTTTCCCTTGGAGTAAACAAGCCTGGCCAAGAGAGGGATCATGATGCAAGGGGCAACACTGGTCGGGTCAATACTGTCCAGGTTTTGTGTTGTGGAAAGAGGGGAGGAACTTTTGATGGCAACAGCAATCCTGAAATCCATGTTGTGCTAATTGTGGAAGATTTTTTAACACGGTTGTTGCTAGTCACATTGTAATTCCTATGCCTTCCTTTATCACAATATATCACTATCAGCTGGAGAGGCTGAAAGTTGCCAAAAGATGCTGTTAGCTCAGTTTTGGATGACATGTTCTGACTAGCCTATGTTCTCTTCAGAAAGCACCAAACCTGGAGTGAGTGTGACGACTCTGGTAGTTGACCCGGCAGATGGAGGGGATATCCTCAAGCAGAATCTGGCTCAGCTTGCACAATGCTCCATGCCAGCAGATCTCACATCCTGGGTAAGAACTATGTGTTATTTGTAATTCCTGTTCATAACATTTGTTCCCCACTTCTTCAGAAAGCTGCAAAATGCAGACAGTGATGATCAAATCTTCAGAGGCTTAACTCTTTTGTTGTAATTGTAACAGACTCCCAGATCATGCTTCAGGAAATTGAAACTATCATCCTATGGCTTGGTTGAGGGACATATCAATGATTTTCTGCCCATTCAGGATAATGAACAAGCTGATAGATTGTCTGCGGCTGGTCCTCTGGGTGGTGAGCTACTTTATGTTAATACTGACATATTCAAAGCTCTCTGTTATCACAGGGACAGTGCAGCAAAACAAAGTATCCATACCTTGAAAGTAATTCATCAGGGAAGGGGGTGAGTAGAGGTTCTACAATATATTCTGTGCTGAGAGCGAAACATCGGCAGACTTTGAATCAGATTGGAACTGGTACTGTTATCAACTTTTTGTTGTCTGCAGGGGGAGGAGACAGAGCACATGTGGGAATGTCCTGAGTGTAGGAATTTAAATTCTTGAATCATTCATTTGTTTATTCATTCAGGATTTGGCTTGATTTGGTTGAGGGTCTATGCTAAATTGTAAAATAAAAGGGAGGTTTCTTTGTGTTATTTTTTTTTTCTAAAAAATAAAAATGTTAGTTGCACATCCCTTATTTGATGTCACAAACCAGCTCCAACATTAGTTGGTTGTTTCCTGCTTTGCCAGGCATTTTACATTCAGAAGTTTGCCATTGCTTTCTGAATGGTTAGTGCCCTATATTCCCAGTGTGGGTACTGGGGCCATGTTGCAGGGGAAACGAGAAGCATGTTGTAAGAGTTGACTGATTGGGAGCTTTCTTTAGTCAGAGAGCATCTGCCTGACAGGCAAGGAACCAACAGTCTACATACAAATTAATCTGATCTGTAAAATGGATTTGCACTCAGGTTCTGGAACAGTGGACAAACAACCAGAACTTTCTGCTGGAGTTTACAGTTGGTGTATGCAAAGAAGGGAAAGAAGAAGAAGAAGCAGCACCCCATACCATTTTCATAACCAGTGCAAGGCGGCTTGCTGCCAAATGGCCAGCAGCTGGAATTGAACTAGGTATCTTGGAGTTATACATTTGTACACATTCTACTTCTAAGCCATAGACGATGACATATTTTGTTGAATAAACCCGCCCGTTTTCCTGGAATTCTTTGTGCTGAAGAAAAACATGGCTTGAAACTTATCTGTATTTCAAAACCACCCCCCATTGTTACACCATCTTGTTGCTCTAGTTCTGATGAAAAACTGTTGTCTGTATCTTTTATGTTTACCATTTTCAGGTTGTGGGCGAACTTCCATTTGATGCCGAAGCAGTGCCACTTTCCTACCCTGATGTGTGTTTCATAGTAAAGGACCGTCAGTTTATGTGTCATAAGGTAATCATTTCAGTTCATTTTTCCTGGTAGTATCAGGAGTACAAATTTCCCATATGTCATCTATTATTTTATAATTCCTTGCCTATGCCTCATTCCTGATGTGACAAGGGCATATTGTTGACACAACGCCAGTCGTCTAAGTGCAGTTTTGGCAATGTATTTTCAGAGGCACAGATATGAATGTGTATTCCAAATAGATCAGAATAAAATGTTACTTTTCACACAGCTACACAATTTTAATTTGATCTCAACTTTTTCCAAACATGCACTCAAGTGACTTTGGCATAATGCCAACAGTACTAGCATGACCCCAAGAACTGTACCGGTTAGTAGCATTTTCAGTGTTGCAAAAGGCAGCTAATGAAATAGGGAGTTTGGCCACCTCTTCCTGTAAACACTGGCCGCAAAAGATAGCCTGCTATAAAAATGTTGAAATGGAAACATGAAATAATTAGCCAGTCAAAAAAAAAAAGATGGTTGGGAAGTGGAGACTTCTGCTAACGAAATATGAAGCAGTTTGGAATATTCTAGAAGAAGGTGGGATCACTGCTTACTTCCTTTCACACAAGAAAGCCTTGTTGGTGGCAGGTCTTTCATCATCATCATCATCATGTTGATCTAGAAGTTCACATAGAACTTGCAGTCTAGTCTTCCATTCAATTCTATTCAGTGCAGTTCTTTCGAGATCATGGATGGAATCCAGTCCAGTATCTTTGGCCTCTCTCAGCAACATCCGTCAAGGTTTTCTCTTGAATGTCCTTATTTCCTCAGTACATCTATTTCCCATTTCAGAGCATATTTGCTGATTCTCAGTCCGTTTCTCCTCAGGTTTTGCCCAGTATATTGCAGCCTTCTTTGTCTTGTAAATGGTGATACTAGCACCTGTCCAGTCATTTCTCTTATTTATTTTCCTTTCTAAAATTCATCCTATGTTTCCTTTTTGAAATTCATCCTATCTGTTTCCTTATTCATTTGCTTTTGAATCAGACTTTTAAAAAACAATCAAATTACATGTGAGGTGGGTGGCTGCCTTAGAAGCCATGTTACCTGTGTTTTATCCTTGGTAAGTAAGTAAGTAAATTAACGATCCCTTTTCACGCCTTAGGCGCATCGGGCATATGTGAAAAGCATCCCATATTTTTTTGACCTGCGACACCCCATACCATGATAAAAATCCACGCAGCCAGCAGTGGGTTTCAATTGCGGTACGTTGGAATTATGAGTCGGACTCGCAACGCCTAAGTTACTTCCTTGATAAGACATGGGGCGTAAAAAAACTCTTAGCCTGCACAGTGTAATGGTGAGTACCAGGGCAAGAGTCCTGTTTGTAAAACGCAGAGGATTTCTGTCTCTTGCAAGCAGCACCTGTGATAAGGATTGTTATGAAAACTGTAATACAATTTACATTGTTTATTATGTTTTTAAGAAAAGATAAAATTAAAAATGAAGAAATTAGAAGACTGACTTCTTCTTCTTATAGTTAATGTTAACTTCAGCGAAAAGTTCTGGTAGTTTATCCACTGCTCGACTTTTGCTTTTGATCGAGAAATTGAGTTTTGTATACACACCCGTTTTACAGATCTAGCTTATTTGTAACAGACTGAAACCAGTTATAATGATCATTAAAGAGCAACAGATGAGATGATTTGGCCATTTGGTGAGATTAGCATGGTACTCACGCAACAGATGAGATGATTTGGCCATTTGGTGAGATTAGCATGGTACTCACGCAACAGATGAGATGATTTGGCCATTTGGTGAGATTAGCATGGTACTCACGCAACAGATGAGATGATTTGGCCATTTGTGAGATTAGATGGTACTCACGCAACAGATGAGATACTTGACCATTTGGGAATTAGCAGACTCACGCAACAGATGAGATGATTTGGCCATTTGGTGAGATTAGCATGGTACTCACGCAACAGATGAGATGATTTGGCCATTTGGTGAGATTAGCATGGTACTCACGCAACAGATGAGATGATTTGGCCATTTGGTGAGATTAGCATGGTACTCACGCAACAGATGAGATGATTTGGCCATTTGGTGAGATTAGCATGGTACTCACGCAACAGATGAGATGATTTGGTCATTTGGTGAGATTAGCATGGTACTCACTGCCCGGGGAGTCATGCTGAAGAAATACAATGAACACAGAGCAAGGCACACAAAAGTTTGAACAATATCATCAAGAACAGAAATGAAGAGCACTTTAACTAAATGAAGATCCCTTTAACTTTCTAAGTTGAAGTGCATCAGAAAGAATCTATCTTTCTTCTTATACCCCACAAGGACATCGCACAAGCGATAAACACATGATGACACAAAGTGCCACCATGTGGATGAGGATCACCTGTGGAGAGGTCCTAGAAACCGCGTTCAGCCATTAGACCATATTTATGGTCGGGCTATATTGCGGCCCCTGGCAAGAGCCCGAATAGGGCTTAAAATTTAAAAAAACTGCAGCCCACAAAAGGATGACAAGGTGATAGTTGTTAGAAAGAATGCACAAAAGATTTTTTTATCTGCCCCAACACCTCAGGGAAGTAACTGGAGGAAGGGAAGAATAAGAGGAAGATTCTCTTCTGCTTATTTTTTCTTCACTTCCTCTTTTACTGCTTCGAGGCCAAGGTATAAGGTCCTGCTTCTTGCTTTTCTGGCCGCTTCGACCATAGACACATGGTGCTGATTTAGAGTTTCTCAGATGTTTTCTTTCCATCTTGCTCTTGATCTACCTCATGCTCTATTTCCTTGTCCTCTTTTCGTGTATGCTTTAAATGGTATGGTGTTAAGAGGCATTCTCTTTAAGAATGCAAACCATTTGATTTGATGTCGTAAAAGGAAGATTAAGTTTCCTAATAAAATCCATTCTATGTGGCATTGTCATTATTGTGACTTTTCACAGCTTTCTGTCCAGATATGAATGTTCAGACAAGATTGTTTTTACAAGTATACTCTAATAGGTTGTATTTTCTTTCTCCAAAGACATTGCCCATACTAAGCTGGTTCTTCTAGCCATTATCTTGTGGTAGTTGCCTGCTTGCCAGTTTTATCCCTCACCTGCCAGCCATGACTTGAGTTATAAACGCTAAATATAACATAGAATGCGACTAGATAGCTCAACATAGGGAATGGAAAAGACAGGGCACAATCACAACAGAACGTTTTTGACCAGTCTTTATCGAGAGAGTACTAAATACAGCACAGACTGTGATTTGACAAGACAACAGAGCTAATTAAAAAAACCAAGGTCTTGAGTAACCCTGATAAAATGGGTAAGAGAGTCTTCCACTCCTGTCTGAGGACCCATACAGAATAGAGAATAAGGCCCCTTCCCTCTCTTGTTGTTAGAGTACCCTACCCTGCTGCCTGCTTTTTATGCTTATATAAAGTCCATTTCTGAAGGAGAAATACTGTAACATCATTATTGTAGACATCAGATCAAATGACAAAAATGGATATTAAAACCACCATTGAGTCCGTATGTCAACATCTACAATTTCATAAAAGCTGCTAACTTCCAGATTTTTGACAATGATATGGAGTGTTGACCATTCAGAAGCTATTGCAAACTAGTGAACATAAAATGTCTAGTAAAACTGAACAGCCAAAAGTTGCTGGAGTTTCTTCTGCAAAGTCCCATAAAGGATTTGCAGTTAACCAAGTCCATATGAGAATCACATTACCTATATAAAATGAACAAATTTGGACATATCTTCATTTATCAGTCTGCATCTCTGTCTTAGGCATTGCGAATGTGCTTCGTAATGCCGGGGTGCCGGGTTCGATCCCATCTGCAGACAGTTTTCTTGCATTGGTTTTGACAGTGGTACTGAGAGATGACAGTCAGAAAGCAGTGGCAAACTACTGAACATAAAAATTTGCCTAGAAAAACTACAACAGACAAATGCTGGGGTTGGTTTCGCAAAGTCCTATTAAGGATACTTTACTAACTAACCATTTATCAGGAGGCATCATGTCATCATTTCCTCATTGTCTAGTGCAGCGGTTCTTAACCTGCTAGTCCCGACCCTTTTTTAAGTCAAACGACCCTTTCACAGGGGTCGCCTAAAACCTAAGACCATCGGAAAACACATATTCATTGAAATTATTCAGGAAAACAATTGTTTGAGGGTCGCCACAACATGAGGGAACTTTATTAAAGGGTGGCAGCTTTAGGGAAGTTGAGAGCCACTGGTGTAGTGGATAAATTAGACTAAAGTACTGTCTGTGTTGCCCATGTCTGACATTTACAGATGAAATACAAGGACTTCCAAGAGAAACATAGAGGTAGATGTTGATGAGAGAAACCAAAGGTGCTGAACCAGATTCCATCCATGGTGTTGAAGTGATTGTACAGGATAGAATGGAATAGAGAAATCGACTGCAAGCCCTATGTGACATATCATAGCACATTAGGACAATAAGTAAATTGTTCAAAGACCTTTCAGACAATCAGAATGCCACTGGCACTATTAGTATCGGAACACTTCACTGGCTGCTGAAGATGGGGACGGAGAGCTTATGGGAATGCCCCAAGTGCTATGATGTTGGTTCTTGAATCAACTCAACTGTGACAATCAGTTGGGTTTTAAAAAAAAAATTTATTCCAGTAAATCTTGCCATGCTATGTTGTCATTCTTGCAAGTTCTCTCTCTGTTTTATGTCCCTGCAGGCGTTTTTCTGCGGAAGAAGTGACTATTTTAAAGCCCTACTGGAGGATCATTTTGGTGAAAACAAGTGCAGTGAAAATATCCCAGTGGTTTACCTTCATGACATTTCTATCGACATTTTCGTTCGCATTCTTACATATATATATTCTGATTCATGCGAGGTGAGCATTATCTGGACAAATATTTTGCTATTTTTAATTCTTACGAAGGTATTAAATTTGTAATTTCTATAACTTGTTTTGTTAGACTGTGGAGGAAACTACGCCTTTCCTTTCAGAAGACACCTCTTATATTTTATGTGTGACCATGGAACAAAATTACGGCTGAATGCTTTTTTGTTGTGTTTTAAGCAGCCCTTATTAAAGAAGTACAAGAGTATTTCCATCAGATGTCATCTTTCTGTCTTTCCTGATGATGGTATTACATTATTCTAAAGAAAGATGTGGGAATTAAACCTATGGCAGGTGTGAATGTGACTAGCAAAACAGCTTTGCATTCAGGAAATAAATAAATGCATATGATATCAGGATCGTTGTTGTCCTCACATTCTGATAGGTTTCTCATCTAATACTCAGCTCTGAACCTTTCACTCTTAAAAACCTTTTAAAAATGACTTTTTAAAATTTGATTTTTTGAAAAAATTTCAGTTCATAAAAATCCAGGGGGGTTGAAACCTATGACTGCTGAGCAGACTGCTAGCTACTGTTTCATCGAACCAACCCCTTATCCAAAGTCACTAAAAAAGATGGATTTTCATGTTTAGGGTCATATTTTTCTAACTGGAAGGAATCGCTAAATGCAAACGGAGTAAAGCAGTAACTGCTTTCCTTCCCTTTTTGACCAGGAAAACAAAGGTTTGGTTGAGATAGTCACAGAGAGCAGAGTGATGTCATCATAAGTCACAGTAACAAGAAATTGGATTTTGTTCACTCCAAATAATATCTCCAAAAATGTGTTTTCATAAATGTCCGCAGTCTGTGCAGTGGCAACAGTACTAAAGATTTTTAATTGGTGTATTGGTAATGGTTGGGACATATTGAGAAAATGTCAGATGACAGACAAGTGAAAACTGTATACACAGGGAAGAAAAATAGTCGTAGGCCACGAGGCAGACCAAGAAGACGATGGAAAGATAATGTCCAGACAGACCTGCAAACACTTGGTGTCACCAATTGGAAAGATAAGGCCAACCAGAGAGATGAATGGAGGTGGTTAATGTCTGCAGCAATGAACCTCAAGGGCTCGGAATACTGAAGAAGAAGAAGTATTGGCCACTGCTAAAAAAAACAATAAAAACTCATTCGAGACAGAAAACTGTTTTTTTTTTTCTATGCACCATAATTTGTCCTTGATTTTCATTCACTCAAGCTCAAGTACATAATTCATGTTCAGTATCTGACATCATTGCTAATTTAACATAAATTATCGAGAACAAAATGATCACTACACATTGGCAAACTGTTGAATGTTAAATTGCATAGTAACCCACAGACAGCAAGCAAATGCTTAGAGAGGTTTAGGTTATCCTGGTGAAGCATTTTGTCTTCCTTTAATTGTTTTACTTGGTAGTCTGTGTTATTTGGATGATCTCTGAATTTCCTCCGCTGTAGTCTGTATTATGTTCATGATCTATATATTTCCTCCAATATAGTCTGAACTATCTTCTTGATCTGTGTATTTCCTCCACAGCTAAATTCTGATATTGTTGGTGATGTCCTAATGTTTGCTGACATGTTTCTGCTGCCGGGACTCAAGAGGTTGTGTGGGACGTCAATGATCCGTTATGTGGATTTATCCAATGTAGTGTCTATGATCAGAACCTCTAGGTTGTTTTGCCTGCCGAGACTTGAAACTCACTGTGCTGAGTTTATCGCTGACAATTTAACAAAGGTTAGTTGATGACTCAGATAATTTAAAACAGATCTTTCCACACTCTCTATGTTGGTGACACTCTTTTTAGACAAACATAATTTTGTGATACAGTTTTTCAAAATACTGGCAAACTCCTTTTAAAATATTTGGATCATTACTTAAATTGTTTAAGGCTTTATGATCATGCAACACACCTTCACACTGCAACGCACAGAAAGCTCTGGTTTAAATGATTTGGAACATCATTCATAAATCATAGATGTACAGTAATGGAAGCATCAACACTCATCATCATCATGTGCCCCCCTGCCAACTGGCGTAGGCACTCATGCGTCTCCACAGATCACGATCCCTGGTTGATGATATACCTGCTTGCCATTGTTTTAGCCCATCCAGCATCATTTCTCTTGGTCTGCCTCTACCCCTTTACTCCACTGATCTTCCAGTTGTCCCGATGTTCTCCAGTGTCTCTCTTCTCATTATGTGGCCAAAGAACAGTGTTTGTCTCTTTCTTATTGTTTCATATAGAGATCTACTTTCGTTAGCTTCTTTTAAACAATCGTTGTTAGTTACTCTGGCCGTCCAAGGTATTCGTAACATTCGTCTCAGACACCACATCTCTGTTGCTTCCAAATTCTTCCAAATTTGTTCACTGACATTCCACGATTCGCTGCCATACAGCAGAACAGGTTCTATGTAACATTTTAGCACCCTCTTTCTGACATTAAATGAGAGCGATTTATTGTATAAGATATTTTTCCTTTTCTGAAATGCAGCCTTTGCTTGACCTATTCTGCTTTTAATCTCTGTCACACATTTTCCATCTGATGATGTGATTGTTCCACAATCAACACTCAGTGTAGGATAAATAGCCTAGTGCTTCGAAAGATCCAAGACTTTTGTTTTTCTGGCAGTGCACCACAGTATGCACTGCTGGCACCTTTTTTTATTTCAGTCATTTCTCTTCAGCGCTACTGTAATGGACAAAAGATGATAAGTACTGCTGCCTTTTTTTTATTTCAGCTGCTTTAATGGTGAGAATTGGCACCTTTGTTTCTGGGGAAAAAAAATCCTGAATAGGTCTGCCTGGGAATGCCTATCACCCCTCTAAATCTTCACTGCCTGATTTTACCACTTTTAGATTGGCGTCGGACCCGGGTAGTGGGGGTTTATAGGTCATGGGCTGGTCCACAAACTTTGCAGGTTAGGATTTGTGTTTTTGCCCCCAGCAGAAAAAATATCCCTGACCGAGGATCGATCCCAGCACACCACACTAAGCACATGGCCAGCTGCACCTTTCCCTGTAAGTAAGACTCTAAAAATGATGGACACATTTTCATGTCTTGTGTATTGAATCAATTGTGTGCTGTATTTGTATAAGCCAGTGGGGCCCTCTTCTTCACTTCTGCTTTTACCCACTTCAGTTCTGGGCCTCAACTATCTTTCCGTCTTGTTCTTGATCTACCTCTGTCTCAGTCTCATCACTCTCCTGTTTTGATATATGCCTTAATAGTATGGTGTCACAACGAAAAGACAATCACCAAACAGGCAATGAAATGGAATATTGACCGAATGAGGAAATGTGGACATCAATAAAAATAAGGAAAGATCCCTTTTCACACCTTTAGGTGCATTGGGCACATGGGAAAAGCACCCATATTTTTACAGACCAGTGGGCACTAGATGGGTAATGTGGTCAGCATTATGCCTACCCATCTTTACTTTCCCAAGACATACATCCAGGTACTCATTTTAGGCTGGGTCGACCTGCGATGCACCATACCATGATAAAAATCCATGCAGCCAGAGTGGGTTTCGATCGCAGTACGTTGGAATTACCAGTTGGACTCTCGACGCTTAACTCTGAGTCCTAGGGGGTTTAGCATCACAGGCCCAAGGGGTAGTCAAGAGAGACGTAAAATCGGCGCATCTTGCGTTCATTGGGCTTCTAGGTAGGAATCTATGAACGTATGATGCGTTCCTTGGGACTCAAAGAGTTAAGCCATGGATGGCACGTGGACATCAATGAGGAACCCTAAAACAAACATTGGTGAGAAAAACCATTGGTGCTGGACCGGATTCCATCCATAATGTTGAAGTGATAGCACAGTATAGGACAGAATAGAGAAATAGACTGCAAGCCCTATGTGGCACATTGGGACAGTGCATAAAAGACTGAAAAGGACCTTACTTTACTTTTATCATCATCATCATCAGGGGCCTTGCCGACTGGCGTGGGCGATCATGCCACTCCACAATCTGCGATCTCCTGCAGCATGTACCAGTTTGTGTGCCGACACACCTCTATGCCATGCAACAAGACTGTCAAGAATCTTCTATTGTTGTCTTCCTCTATCCCTCCTTCCACAGATCTTTCCAGTGGTCACAACATGTTCTGTTTTCCCTCTTCTCATAACATGGCCGAAAAATGATGACTGTCTCCTTCTGATGTCTGTGTTTGTCTTCGAGCTCCCGCCTCTTTCAAAACATCCTGGTTGGTCTTTTTGGCTGTCTAAGGTATTTTAAGCATTCTTCTGTAAAACCACATCTCTGAAGCTTCAAGAAATTATTTGGCCTGCCTACTGATTGTCCAGGACTCACAGCCAATGATGTCTGTGAATAGTTGTCTTCAAGCTCCCGCCTCTCTCAAAACATCTTGGTTGGTCTTTTTGGCTGTCCAAGGTATTTTAAGCATTCTTCTGTAAAACCACATCTCTGAGGCTTCAAGAAAATATTTGGCCTGCCTACCGATTGTCCAGGACTCACAGCACTGGATGTATGTAGCAAGCAAGAATTCTTTGTCTAACCTTCAATGACAGAGATATATTGCATAAGATGTTCTTCATTTTATAAAATGCAGTTTTTGCCTGTCCTATTCTGTTACTTTTATATGACATACAATTTTCACTTTTCATGTAAGAAATTCAAGCACTAAGTATGCAACAGTCCAGGAAAACGGTTCAGAATGTTAAAGTACTATATACAAAAGCTTGCTATCTCATAGTTCTTTGGTTTGAATCTGCAGTAAGTTTTCTTTTGATGCAGAGATCCCAGATCGACACAGTCTGAAATGAGTACCAAGATATGTCCAGGGGAATCATGACGGCTGGCATAATGTTGATCACATCATTTAAGTTCCTGAGTATCTATATACAGGGTATCCCATAAGTTTTCATACATAAGAAAAGCAGATCATCAGCGCCAAGCATAACTCCAGTGCTTATACGTGTTCTTCAGTGTTGAATGTTGAATTACGAATCGACTTGAGACACCCCCATAACCGCTCCATCCCCATCTTCAGCAGCAAGCAAAGAGTTAACATTCTGATGGTACCAGTGCCTGTCTGATTGTATATCCGTCTCACCTTTCCCCTGAGTGTCGGCCAGATCCCTCGCAGTGCCATTCTCCTCAGGCGTGTTTTTCAGCAGTGAAGGACACACATTGAATGTTTTCAAAACAGAGATAGTCATATAGAGCATATAGTATTTTAATTATTTTATTTTTTTTTTATTATTTTTTTGGGGCTGCATATGAAAACTTAGAGGTCTAGCACTATATTCCTGATGCACTACTGGTGTAGAGTTCTGATCACATTGGGCCGGGTGAGCAGAGAGTGGCCAGCGGGTGCTACGGAGGTGGAAGTCTAACAGTTGATTTACGACAATTCACACCCAGTTGATCTGATTATCTAAACAGATGGTTCAATGTTGAGAGAAAAGAGAAGTGCCTGGGGGTTCGTAGCGAAAACCAATGGAAAATCTTTAGTGCAAGACAGCCTGGCATACGACATCACAACATCTAGCATGAGAATGGAGGTGGAGGCGGTAACTGCAGCTCTCCGGTGGCTAGAGAACAAGATGCATACACATTTCGTAATTGTAACAGACTCTGAAATTATGCTGAGAAAGGTGAAGAAAGGGATGCTTCGAGAAAAGTGGCAAGCTTCACTGGGAAGGTCATGGGTAGTGAGCATACTTTGGATCTTTTCCCCAGGCTGTGCCGGCATGGTGGGTAATAAACAAACAGGCCGACAGATTGGCTGGATCTGCACCACTGGGTGGTGAATTAATACATGACAAGACAGATGTGGTCAAGGCCCTTTGGGAACAAGCAACAGAATCAGTAAAGAAAAAATGATTATGGCCTGGAGAGAATGAGGCACCTGGGTGTAACCAGAGGGTCTGGCCGGCTCACTACACTCAGAGGAAGGTCAAGGTGGACATATAACCAGATTGTGACCGGTACCATCAGTATTGGAACTCTGCACTGGCTGCTGAAGATGAGGACAGAGCACACATGGGAATGCCCTGAGTGCTGTGATGTCAACTCTTAACCCAACGCATGAAAAATGTCCTTTATTTTTATTTTATTGACAAAATCTATTTCACTGAACATTTACTGACAAAACTCTGGCATTTCCTGGCAGGTGGTTCAAAGTGAGGATTTCAAAGAGCTGGTGCTGGAGGATGCCCGAAACGTCAAGGGGAGAGAAGAAACAGACTCAATCGACATTGTGGATGAGATTCGATATTATATATCCAGTTTTGTTCTAACATTCAGTGACATGGAGGAGGCTAATGAGAAGTTGCGAGTGATTGATGATCTGCTTGAAGAATTAGATATTGAGGGTTGAATGCATGAAGATGATGGGTGTTTGTATTTTTGCATGCAAAGGGAGGTAAACAGTATTGAATGTTTTCATTAAAAAGAGAGTCTTAACCCAGAAACAATAAAGCAAAAATTAGTCCGTTAGAATTCCTAAAAATAAATCTGTCAAACAAAAATTTTTGCACTGCCGTTAATAGTTAATTAAAGTATTTATTTACAGGTTAAAAACATTTTCAAAATACATTTCCGAGACATTAAAACACAGACGTATTGGGTGGCTCATGTCATGTATTGGTGACCGCTGTCATTGAGAAAAATATGTCAACTTATCTTTAAAAAAAAGAAAAAAAGATATTTAGCTGAAAGAAAAACCCGTAAATGCTATTTTTAGTTTATATATTCATATCCTGACCTCCTAAATGTTTGTGCAGGTTTGAATTCACGCAATAGCATCAACTTTGCATCTCATAAAATAAAGGTCACTGTAGACACGTTGGAAAAGTCACATTTGCGTGAAATTAGACCCAACTGGAAGTGTTGGTTTTTCGGCTTCTATAGGCAAAAGGGTTAACCCTAAGACAAACTGTGAGAGGCCAGAGTTACTGGACTTTATTCCATCCATGATATCAAGAGGATTGTACAGGAGAGAAGGGAATGGAAGATTAGACTGTGAGCCCTGTGTGAGATATAATGATTATTTAGGAGACATTTTGGGTTTACGCTTTTGAATACAAAATATGTTTCTATTTTGGCTTCTGTGAGCATAATATTTCAGTAGAATAGAGCATAAATCTGTCATACTGGTATCTTGTTCATTTTCTGCTACCCCTGTCTCCTTGTTGCAAACTTGGAAATGAAGAGCTCATGAAGTGGCAGAAGAAGATGGCAGGCTACCTCAGAAGAAGTTTATAAGAAGCACTTCTAGAACCAAGTGGGGATCCAGGGGCATCAGAACCACCAGAAAGATGATGCACCAACCAGCTTCAGCAAGTAATAATCTTCAGACTGTGCAAAGGACATAATAGACTGAAATGTCACTTGTTAAATAAGCTAATAATGTGTAATTTGTACCCTACCAGGACATCACACAAAGCAATAAACAGCCTGTGACACATATTGCCACCATGCGGATGAGGATCACCCGTGGAGAGGTCCCAGTAACCCCGTTCAGTCGTTAGGCCATATTTATGGCCCAGCTATATTAAGGGCCCCCCAGCAAAAGCCAGGGTGGGGCTTTAAATAACGAAAAATTGCCCACATGGGGACAAGTGTTTAGTCTAAGCTAATGATATAAAACACTGATGAGTATAATCATTGAATCGATAGATGCAATAATGGCTAAATATTTTGTACAATTATTTCTAAAATATGCAGAATTTTTTTTTTTTTTTAATTTAATTAAAATTTTGACTCACTCCATTTGAGGACAAAATCTTCGGAGTAAGCATTTTCATTTTTTTTTTTTTAACCATTTACAAATCATAACTGAATAGACCAGAAGGTGTACAAAGAAGAATTTGTGCCACTGTTTGCAAAATAAGTCAAAAGAAAATAAGCATTATTAATGGTTATGCTGGTATCTTGTTTATTGTTTCCACCATCTACCAAATACTTGAATAGACCATAACCAGAGATATTATTTATAATACAGGAAGCTTGTTCATTTTTGCCACTTACTATCAAATATTTTTATAGAATAGAACAGCAAATGTTCTTTGTTAAGTAGTGTATTGTGTTTTTTTCTAATTCTTTCAAAACTTTTGAATAGAATATAACAGGAAATATTTGTTATTTTGATAGCTTTTTTCATTGTTGATATCATTTGCTATACTGGTGTCTGCTTTTTTTTTATATTTGTCTACCAGATATTTCAGTTTAATAGAATTTGAGATTTTATTTATAATACTGGTGCCATGTTAATTTTTACCACTTTGTAACAAATATTTTCAGTAGAGCAAAACAGCAAATATGTTTTACTTTTATACAGGTGTCTTAGTTAGTTAGTTAGTAAGTTAGTTAGTTAGTTAGTTAGTTAGTTAGTTGGGATATGATCATTGCAGTCCGGTCATGTCCATAGGGGCTCAGATCCTTCCTTCACTATGAACCCCAGCGTCCTGTGACTAATAGTGCCAGTTCTTTGTTGATTGATAAGTCTTTTTGTATGCCCGGTCTGACAGCTTGGTTAACCACTTTTCACCACTTTTTCAGTAAAACTAAAGACATATATTGCTGATGAATGTAATTATGGAGTTGGTACGCTGGTGGCTGTCGGCACCTGTGGCTTAGTCGTTGCAAATGCACTTCGTAGTGCTGGGTTCGATCCTAGCTACGGGCCTTGCACTGGTTTCGATAGTGGAATCGAAAAGCCGACCTTCCAGAAAGCAATAGAAAACTACTGGACGTAAATTTGCCTTAAAAAAAACCACAACAGCCAAAAAACACTGGGGTTAGTTTCTGCAATGTCCGGTAAAGAATATGCAACTAACTTAACATTGATGGCTAAACGTTTGCTGCAAGTATGTCCAACTTGTGCTAAATAATCATCATCATCATCCTGCTGTGCCATCATATGTCAAATAAGGCTCAAGGCCTATTCGTCTATTTCCTTCTACCCTGTGCAATCCCTTCGTTATCCTGGATGGAATCCAGCCCAGCACCTTTGACCCCTCTCCCCAATGTTTATTTTAGGGTCTGTTTTCAGACATTCTCAACTTCCTCAATCCCTTCATTCCTGTTTGATAATTCTGTACTCGTTTCTTCTCAAGATATGTCTAATAAAATGCCATCTTCTTTGTTTTACAACTGTTGTTATCAGTGGTCGCCCAGACATTTCTCTTATTTTTTTCCACCCCTCTTGAGTTCATCCCATTTATATGCAGAATAAAGACAATTATTTCTAATTATAGTGAGATGTTATCACAGTGTACACATTTTCCTCTTCTCAAGACATTCTCAGATCATGTGTACTGGTACACCAGGATCTGTCACACAGGCCCAGATCATGTGTACTGGTACACCAGGATCTGTCACACAAGCCCAGATCATGTGTACGTACACCAGAATCTGTCACACATGGTCAGTTAGTGGTCTGGCTAATTTAGTTTGCTTCAGTTTTGCAGAAAGAAACCTATCCACATTTGACTATAGGCTACTTTGTAACTGTTTTGTAGTGTTCCAGTATAACTGTTCTGTATGATGCTGTAAGTTTGGGCAGGGTTTTTAGGATTTATGCCCATTTGATTTTCATCCTTGAGATATTAAACCTTCAGATTGAGATATTTAAACCTTCAGATTGAGATATTTAAACCTTCAGATTGAGATATTAAATCTTCAGATTGAGATATTAAACCTTCAGATTGAGATATTTAACCTTCAGATTGAGATATTTAAACCTTCAGATTGAGATATTGAACCTTCAGATTGAGATATTGAACCTTCAGATTGAGATATTGAACCTTCAGATTGAGATATTGAACCTTCAGATTGAGATATTGAACCTTTAGATTCAGATATTTAAATCTTCAGATTGAGATATTTAAACCTTCAGATTGAGATATTTAAACCTTCAGATTGAGATATTTAAATCTTCAGATTGAGATATTAAACCTTCTGATTTAAATATTGAACCTTCAGATTGAGATATTAAACCTTCAGATTGAGATATTTAAACCTTCAGATTGAGATATTTAAACCTTCAGATTGAGATATTAAACCTTCAGATTGCAGTTCAAAGGAGGGGGGGGGGGGGGGGAAATTTAAAAAAAAAAAGCTACATAGGTTCCGTTTCTAAATAAGATATAGTATGTGGCAACACATTGATATCAACAGCTGTAGCAACTCAAATAATTTTCATTAACTTATTAAACAACTGCTGGTATAAGAAGTTATAAGACCTTTCTCTGCCCTTAGGTCTACTGAGTATACAGTAAAGGTTAAGGGCCCTTTTTCATGCCTTTGCATGTATTGGGCATCTAGGGCTTGACACAGATTTGAACTTACATCCTTTGGCTCCGCAGGCGTTGTCTACACCATAGTTGCTTACTTATGAGATATAGAAGATGGTGATATATTAGAACCCACACAGGGAAGGTACAATGAAATTATTGTTCATTTTGCTTGTGCACAAAATTTTTAATCGACAAATCAGACATGTGCACAGGAGTATTGGCACCTGAGACAACAGATCATGTCCTCCGAAACTGCTCCAAATACAACATACCAAGGCAACAACTTTTAGCCAAGAGAAACATCGGTGCAAGTCAAACTATACGGGTCGCTGAGTGAATTACAGAAGACGGTGAAGTTCATACTAGAGACTAATTTTAGATATAGATAATCTATTTCAAGCAAAAGAAAGAAGAAGAAGCTTGTACACACCTTTTAAAGCCTGCTAGTTGGCAACACAGCAAATATGCAATTGTTAACAATGTATATGTTTTTTTTTTTTAAGAGTGTGTGTGTGTGTGGTTGCTTTTGAGCAATTTTAACACTAGGTAGTTGATATGTCAGTTTGGATATGTATATGTTCTTTATTTATTCCTTTTACCATTAAATATCTTTTTTTTTTTTTTTTTTTTTTGTCAAACAGTAGCATAAGCAAGCAAAAACAATCTGTCAAATTATAAGTCTTATGATAAGACCCGTAAGTTTCATATAACTACAACTACTTATTCACTTCATCTTTTACCACTTTAGACGTTCTTATGGTCACTTCATCTTTTACCACTTTAGATGTCTTTGATGTTACTTTTCCATTGCTTCTTGGTCTACCTCTTGACTTTTTTTCTGGACGCCTTGACCATATACACATTGTACTATTGTAGAGATTTTCTTTATATGAATTTAGAATTGGTTCCTTGTTTTTCATATTCTTCTTGGTCTACGTCAGCCCTTCTCAAACACCTATGTGATTACTTATCTTTCTTTTCATGTATTTACTTATCTGTTATGGTAGCATCATTGGAAGGCATTCTTTCTATGTGTGTGCACACTTGTGTCATGGGGGAAGGGAGGGGTTTAATGGTT